ATGATTCTTTTGCGCTTAAAAGCTTCGTTGGATGCATCCGCTCCTCCGATCGGGAGGTTGCAGAAAAATCCAAACAGCCGGTTTGCCATCGACCTTGCATGTCCAAAAGCAATCTCGTGACAGGCGAGCTCTAGCGAATGATTAATCATCCCTCCAAAGAAATATGCCACCAGGAAAATCATCTTCCACGATTGGTCCTTCATTATGAACAACATCGCAAACTGCGTTAGCACCATGGCACCAGCCCACAAACTTGAACCGCGGATCATAACCGAAAAACATCTTGATCTGCGGATACTTTTGCAGGATAATCTTCCTTCGACTGGCGAGCGGTTTCTCGGTGTAACACCACTCGAAATCCGTCCTGGACAAGTGCTGGCCCATTGCGGTCACTTCTTAATTGCTTGGGAAATACTCCCAAAATGAAAAAACAAAATCCGAATTTCACAACACTGCTTCACGTAGAATAGTGAAGACGCTCAAAAGTAAAAGTACACCGCCCCGGCTGCAGTATCGATGATACCGACCTGGAATTATCCTTAGCTCGGCCATAAAAGTCTGCACTCGCGAACTTCTCTAGAAAAAAACGCGACGGAAAAACATAGACGAACAATTTGGCAACCGGAAAATTTTCACGTCCGTGTAGAGCAGTCAAAAAAAAAGATGGTCCTAAGCACTCGTCGTTCGGAAACACCCAGTGCTTGCAGGTCCTCCTCGAGCATCGTCCACGTCTCGTGTCCGTAGAGAACTACCGGTCTTATCAGCGTCACGGAGGTGAAGTTTACCCGACCTCAGGGTCTTGTGGAGTCCGTAGTAAGCACGACTTCCGGCAATAATACGCCGACGAATTTCTCTGCTGCAGTTGTTGTCCGACGTCACCAATGATCCGAGGTACACAAATTCATCCTCCACCTCAAACTCATCCCCATCGATTGTCACACTTCTGCCTATGCGAGCCCTATCCCGCTCGGTTCCTCCAACTAACAGATACTTTGTCTTCGACGTATTCATCTTTAATCAAACCTTCTCTGCTTCACGTTTCAGCCTGATGACTGCTCCGCCACGGCCTGAAACGTTCTTCCGACAATTTCCACGTCGTCATCGAAGCAGATGAACTGGCTGGACTTATTGAAGATCGTGCCCCGCATGTTAAAGTCCGCACGTTTCATAAGACCTTCTAGCGTAAAGTTGAACAGAAGGCAGGAAAGACCATCGCCTTGTCGAAGTCCTTTGCGAGTTTCAAACAAGTCCGATTAGGCACCCGATATCTTCACGCAGCACTGTACACCATCCTTCGTAGCCCTGATCAGTCTGGTCAGTTTCCCGGGAAAACCGTTCTCGTCCATTTTGTTCCATAGCTCTTCACGGTCAATAGTATCATAAGCGGCCTTGAAATCGATGAATACGTGGTGCGTAGGGACTTGATATTCACGACATTTTTGGAGGATCTGCCGCAACGTAAAGATTTGGTCCGTTGTCGATCGCCCGTCCACAAAACCGGATTTATAACTTCCCACAATTTTGCTTGCTAGCGGCGATAAACGGCGATAAACGGCGAAAGATGATCTGGGAAAGCACTTTGTAAGCCGCGTTAAGAATAGTGATCGCTCGATAGTTCTTACATTCTAATTTGTCGCCTTTTTATATACTGGGCATATTACCAACAATCAATACGAAACTAACGATTTTAAATTGGCCCACTACTTGATTAGCCTACTGGTCCCAAGCAAACGATTAACGCACCCCATTCTTGTCAAAATTCTAGTACTACACAATGTTTGTTTTGATTCGCTACACGCTTACTTCAGCTTACTCACCGGATGAGTCGATCGTACTCAATTTCGTCTGATGCATTAGGTTGTCAAAATTTGAGTAAGCGAGAAATGTCAAACTGAGTAATAGTCACTCAATCAGCCAAATCCGGGACTTAGAATAAAGATTCCATCCGTGTCGGAGCAAAAGGCTCTAAGAAACGGTGAAATTATTGTAAAACATCGACCAAAATGTATTAAGGTAAGTAGAAATTGCATGCGGAGACGGTTTTCAGTCGTCTTCAGCTCCAGTTTAATGAATCTGGAGCAGGTAATTTCCATATTTTATCAAAACAAATAAAAAAAACGGTCTTCCCGGCTGAAAATATTACAGAGTGGTTTTGACTCACTCTGCGCGGGAACGTCGTTTACTCAAAAGTGAGTAAAAGTGCGCCTACTCACTTTTGAGTAGCCATACTTCCCGATGAAATGAGCATGTTCGACTCAATTTTGAGTTGTTCCGAGTTACCGTGTATTACTCCCTTTTTCCACTTCTCCGGTAGCTGTTCTGTATCCCAGATCCTGACTATCAGTCGGTGCAGACAAGTGGCCAACTTATCCGGGCCCATTTTGATAAGTTCCGTTCCGATATCATCTTTCCCAGCTGCTTTGTTGTTCTTAAGCTTTTGGATAGCATCCTTAACTTCACCTATCGTGGGAGCTGGCATGTTCCCCTCATCCGCTGTACCAACGAAGCCATTCCTACTGCCGCCTTGGTCCTCCGCCTCTGCGTTATTTAGATGTTCATCGTAGTGCTGCTCCCACCTTTCGATCACGTCACGTTCGTCCGTTAAGATACCCTCTTCCTTATCCCGACACATTTCGGCTCGCGGCACAAAGCCTTGGCGGGATGCGTTGAGTTTCTTGTAGAACTTGCGTTTTTCTTGAGAACGATGCAGCTGCTCCATTTCTTCGCACTCCAGCTCTTCCAGGCTGCGCTTCTTATCCCATAAAAGATGGGTTTGCTGTCTTCGCTTCTGTTTATATCGCTCCACATTATGACGGGTTCCTTGCTGCAGCATCGCCGCCTGCGCTGCGTTCTTCTCGTCCAAAACCGTCTGACACTCTTCGTCGAACCAATCGTTCCGTCGATTCCGCTCCACGAACCCAACGGCGCCTTCAGCAGCGCTGTTAATGGCTGCTTTCACGTTGCTCCAGCAGTCATCAAGAAGGGTTTCGGTGTGCTCTCCCTCATCAGGCAACGCTGCGTCGAGGCATTGCACGTGCTCAGTTGCGACTTCGGGCAGCTTCAGTCGCTCCTGATTGTACCGTGGCGGGCGTCGGTACCGAATGTTGTTGGCAACGGAGAGTTTTTGGCGCACCTTGACCATTAGAAGGTAGTGGTCCGAATCGATATTTGCGCCGCGATAGGTCCTGACGTCGATAATGTCCGAGAAGTGCCTTCCGTCGATCAAAACGTGGTCGATTTGCGATTCTGTCTGCTGCGGTGATCTCCAGGTGTCCCGATATGGGAGGCTATGCTGGGCTGGAAGTAGGTACTACCCATGGCCAAGTTCTTAGAGGCGGTGAAATCGTCTAAGGCCGTTGGCGTTCGTTAGCTGGTGAGCGCTGAACTTTCCTATAACCGGTCTGAATTCCTCCTCCTGGCCGACCTGAGCGTTAAGATCACCGATGACGATTTTGACGTCATTACTTGGGCCCGTATTCCCGTTCCAGCTGCGCGTAAAAAGCGTCTTTACCGTCATCGTCACTTGCTAAGTGAGGGCTGTGCACGTTGATTATGCTGACGTTGAAGAAACGGCATTTGATCCTCAACTTGCACATTCTGCTATCGATTGACCACCACCCAATCACGCGCTTCTGCATTTCGCCCATCACGATGAAAGCTGTACCCAGCTCATGTGTATTGCCGCAGCTCTGGTAGATGGTATAACCATCCCTATACGTGTGTACCGACGATCCCTTCCAGCAAATCTACCAAATGAATATGTAACTCCACCGACAGTCTAGAGCATTGTCATTGCACAGTTGCCTGAAACCTCCCCATATCATTCTGCTCCACACTTGCTTCTGGTATTTGTTATAATATATTCACTCCTATTCTGTATTTCGTTTCGAACGAAATTCTCATACAAAAAAATATTTTTTTGTATGAGAATTTCGTTCGAAACGAAATACAGAATAGGGGTGATTATGTATTTTTTTTATGAATATCCTTCCGTCAAAATATGCCAATATCCACAATAACATCACTTTTCCGAGATGGCAAAATATCGAATAACGATGAACGGATGGAGGAAACTACGAGACGAATGTTGTTTCGTTTGGAGGTCATAAAATGGTGCAATGTTTTCGAGAAAAAGTTAACTGAAAAGGTAAATTCCAAGAGCGAGCAAACTTAGGAACAAACTGAAGAGCGCTTTTTCCTTTCTTTCAAAACCGAATCTAGCTTGGAGGGGGCAGTTGTAAAGCGGCAGCAAAATAAAACAAAACTCAACCAATTTTTGCCGGACGTTCACATTCCTTTATTTTGTTTTTGTTTTTAATTATATTCCATGGTACTTTAGAAAGTGGCACTAGCTTACATTTGATTCATTTTTTTCAATATATGTATCAGAACATTGCACCATTTTGTTTGTTTGTTTATCTGTTTATCATTTCTCTTCTAGGCGAGAGATGCGCGTACGTGTGTGTGTGTGTATTTCTGTTTGTGAGTGAGTGTTGAAGATGTATATACTTCTAATAATGCATGTTTGAATGTGTGTATGTCTCTATGTTGTGAATGCATTTTAGTGTCGTCGTATAATCTTTTATAAGGTTCTAAAGCTATCACTGACACGAGTTACGCTCGTTCATTTGCCTTCATCGTGGTTTCAACAATGTATATGTAATAAAATTGACAATTGAAACAGCAAACAATAGAAACAAAGGAAACTGAATCCTGGGAAATGATCAAACACTGTTAGTTGTTTAGCTCTTTGCGTGGTACTCTGGTGAAGAACGTTTCCACACTCAGCACAAGGAGACAATCGACCGTCGGTATTGAGCAACAGTTTCGTAATCAGCTAGACGGAGAACGAAAACATTGTTTTTTTTTTTATTTGGCAACTTACGTATCAAAGCGTGAGGCGTTAGGAAAACAAAACGAAAACCCCTAATTTAAGCGTAATAAAGAAAGAAAACTTACTGCGGTAACTTAGCATATAAATAATGACGCAAAGTAAGATGTAGCAGTTTGAACTGACGATATATTAAAACTAATAATTTTCTTCTCAATCACTTACTGTACTAAAGAACATTAACACAAACATTTCTACAAAAAACGATTAATCAAACAAACGATCACGAATTTGTGTGTGTGTGTATGTGTGCAGTGACAAAAGAAAAACACTAGCGTAGACTGCAAATTGCGTTGCTCCTACATTCATCCTGGCTCATCGAATTACACTACACCAGAACTTATTTTAGTGGGAAAAAAATAGTGCTACCTAAATACAAAATTTCATTGTAGATGTTTTAGTTTCGTTTTGGCGGAAGCTTTGTGTGTATATTTTTTTTTTTTTTCTCCATTTTGTTTACTCGCATTCTCTACTCGCAAAACTTTCTTTCCACATTACCCATTCCGATTCGAACAAAACTGATTGCTTTCTTCTTAATAACATTCACAAATTTCACTTCCACTCTGGGCCACCTCTCATCCTCTGCACTATTCCTGCGCTTTTTGGCTTAATCATGCATAAAAATACATTGAGTTGTTGTTTTTTGTTGCTTTTCTCTCTTTTTTTTATCTAAATTGAATAATAGTATAAAACAGAAATAATTAAAAAGGTTCATAATAGTATGTAACTAAATTGCTATTATTCTTCTGTTCGACGAGGATAACACCATCTTCGGAACGCTTCTCTGCCTTGAAAACTTATAATTTCATTAGTCATACACCTTTCCGCCTGTCCCGTCAAATGGGCAGTAGTAGCTTCGAAATCGAATCCGATGAGGTTTTTGTTTTCCCCCAAAGTATAACGCGAAGCATAACATTTCAGTTCCAAGTTCGACAAGCGCAAAACACACATTCAAGATTTGTGGACGGTTGTCTCCCGAAGCTACTTGCCTTGCCCTACAGTTCCTTTTTGTTTTTGCCTTCACAGAATATTGTTCTACACAAGACTTGATCAGCACCACCGTTTTGTGAATAATAATTTGAAGCGATTATGTTTTGAGAGACCAATAAACTTAGATCTAGTCGTCTTCTGCCAGGTTAAGAATGCCAATGTACGCGCGAGGGTAACAAACATACGTCTCTTTCGAAGTCGATAAAAATATACTGAGTGATAAAAATATGTTCCTTGGCTTTTTCCTGCTGCTAAAGAGTAAGCGCATTTTTCCTAAATAGTACAAACACAACCAGTCCAACCCGATTGGTTCACTTGTTTCACACATCCTCTCTCAAACCTCACATTCGCTTTTTAAGCATTTTAACTTTTGCTGATTTTGCACAGTTTGTGTTTTTTTTTTTACGTTTTTCAAGACAACAATTTATTTGCATGCTAATTTTTGTTTAGTTTAGTTTACCGCTTTAGACTGACCCATTCTCTAATGGCACAGTTGGTGGTGGTGGTTGGGGTGGTTGAGGCTGAGCCGGGACCTTCGATGGATCAATTGACGAGGTAAGGATCTCTGTGCTACTGTCGCTACCACTACTGCTTTTGAGGCAGCTCGTTTCCACAGCTACTACTGCTGCTACTGCTGCTGCTGGTGGTGCTACTACGAGGTCAGAAGTCTTGGTTGCCGCTGTGGACGTTTCTGCTGGTGCTGCCACCGTGGATTCGTTGCTAATTTCAAGGCAGACCTGGGTTGAGCTACTGTCGGGTTGAGGAACGGATTCGGTAACGATAGTGTTGCTGGTCCTGGGAAATTGAAGGAAGAGGGTAATTATTAGGATGATTCTTCGTATTTGAGTAATTTCACCGAATATCAACGAAACAATTTATCATAATGAACCAAGCAAAAGTTGTAATGTGTGTTGATATCTCGAAGCCTTTCCTATGATTATCAACATATGGCCACGAATGCAACGGAGCCGAAGAATCATGGTTCGAAGTACCTGGTCGGGTCGTTTCATTTGTAACAAGTGTAAGTGTTGCGTCCAAGATTGGTGAGATTAATCGCGTGTAGTTTTCGTATATTTAGTTATTAAATTCCAAGAAAAAGTTTAACTGTTCGTAAAAGATAAAACGTCCCAGAATCCCCACTAACGCAGCCAGTAGGAGACACTTCCCTATAAACTGTAGAACAATGTCACTAGCCACCACCAGAGCACGCTGTGTGCAGTCATGAATGGACGTCCATAGGGGTGGCGTAATCGGGGCCATGGCGTGGAGAGTTCGTGGCACGTACGACGGTTCAACGGTCACGGTTCGGGGTCATCGTCCACCAAGAGGCACAGAGATAAGCCTGGTGATCATTATAGACTACGGTCACATAGCGAAAGTCAAAGCTAAAAATTAATAGTTTGAAGGTGAAAACTAAAGCTAAAGTGCTAAAGTGAGCTAAGTTGGAAGTTTGAAGAAGTTGTAGAGGAAGTTGCCACGTATCATTGGACAGCCAGGACCTCGCGGTTTTACCGTTACATTTGTGAACTCCACGTATTTTTCCGGAGTTAATCTTAATGTGTATTGCATTCTATGTATGTCCTGTAATAAGAGCGTTCCGTTGGAAGGAGATTCTCTATCCCTACAGTGGATATCGTGTAAGTGCATCAGCTTACAGGTCCACACCTCCTTTTTTGGCCCTTCACACAACGGAACAGTAAAGATTGCAGGGTTGCATAGTCTGATCTTGCCATTAAGAGGAACCGTACGTTATGGCAAGTCCTGCACTGGTGGTGGCTTCTAATCACATCACATCACATCCACGTATTTTTCCGGAGTCGACCACGCCAATCGCCGGTAGTGTGTCCGAATCGCAGTTCGAGAATCTGATCCCTCAGCTACAGTGTGCGCCACCAATCCAGGCAAGTCAACTTACCCTTGTGGTTCGTTGAAACCTCGAGTCCGTCACCATACTCGAGGGGCGTACGGGACAGCTAGAGGCGTCCACCCCTGGCCCAAGAAGGTGATGCGGTACCAGAGAAGACGAAAGAAGAGTAGTGCTTGCACAAGGTAGGAGTAGACATCTAAGGAAGTGGGAGACCGTCCGTGAAGTGAGTGTCATCAACACGAATAAAGTGGGAGTTTGTCTTAAGTGAACTTTAAGTGTTTTCTTGGTTCGCGGAATTATCACGAGCGTGTGCCGACCCTGAGGCTTGGAGACGGGGGTCTCATCAGTGCTGGGAGTAACACCGCACTGGCACGTTACACATTTCCGTGGTTCGTATTCTCTCATTTACATGACCGAGACTTACAGAATAATTACATAAATTCCACCCTCAAGGACCGATGTTCTTGCTTACATTTGAAAAGTATGTTTCATATAAGAATAGGTACCGTAAAACGGGTTATCTTTGATAATGCGGGTAACTTTGATAGTATAATGTAAAGATTAAATTTACTCGCTGCGCTTTTTCCAAATTAGAAACATTGGTTCCATATTGTAGCTTAATGTATTTCCGTTGATATCGTATATAGTTTTTATATAGTATGGATTACATATTTAACAAACATATTAAAAAAAACAATATTCGTGTTTTCACCTGTTTGAAAAAGCACTCAAACCAACACTTATGAAATGTATTTCCGATATAGCCATCACAAATTCAATGTTGTATTCTCATTCCTTATGATGTTTTCTGATTATATACTCATTCAAAGTTTCATATTTAAAGAACTAAATTGTTTGAGTTTCACCCATTTTTTCTACATTCATTGAGCATTATCAAAGTAACCTCAAATCAAAAAAAAACTGAAGTTCGTTCACAAAACTAAAAAATAGTGCAAATGCTTTAATTTCCGTTAAACATATTAATAACGAATTGACTCTTGTAACATGGAAAAACATTCATTGCTGTAAAAATTATTTAGAATATAATTTAAAAAAAACTATCAATGTTACCCCGTTTTACGGTATGTCTGGAACGTAAACGAGAAAATAGATGTGACTAACTTTTTTCCTCTAGATCTGTTTTCAATCAGACTGAACTATTTTAAAACTTCGCTAGAAGTCTTCACAAGATAGTACAATACTTTCAAAATTATTATCAAATTGCCCCTAGAATTATTTTGGGATTCTCTCTGGTACACGGCGAATGAGAACGACCCAAATTTGAGTTTAGTTTACTCATAAATCAGGTGCAAGAACTCAGCGATGAGTAAATTTGCCTGATTTGTCCGCGAATATCAGAAAAATAAAGATTAGATTCACTCAGTCTATTGCTACTACTCCTAGACTGATTAATTTCGCCAATGTTTTTCATTTTCCGGCAGATTTTTTAGGTTTTCCAAAGGAAACCGTGAGGCAAATTTACTCATCGCTGAGTTACTGCCCTTTTGGCGATTATGAGTGAACTAAACTCAAAGTTGGGTCGTTTTCATTCGCCGTGTAGTTATCCCACTATAATTTTATCAATAACACTCGAAAAGTTCTGTCCTTAAAACTATTTATATGTATTCTACACATCGTTTAGAATTTGCAAATTCGCCTTTTAAAATTTCCTTTGAAAACTCCTGAGAAGTTCCTTGGTAAACCCCTTCAGAAATGCCATGGAATTCTGCTTAGCTTATAATAATTTTGGAAAGCTGCTTGAGATGTTTCTTTGATCACTCGAGAGAGGGTGTAATCGAAGAAGCATGTGATCAAGCAAGAAGCGATCGTTAAAAACTTGTTTGCACACTCATCAACAAGCCCTAAAGAAGTGCAGACGTGTATTCTCTTTGCTTTAATAAAACTGTACCTGCCCGTTACGCTCCTGTGTCGTTTCTCGGAGTTCCTAGAAAGACCGAATCTCTTCAGAAGACACGGTGTCTTACAATTTTTGGAATGCCGATCATCGTAGCATCATAGAGGTAACTCTAAGACTAGTAGGTCCCGAAGAAACGTGCTCAAGTTTTTGGCTCAGCTCTGGTACTATCTCCGGTCCCAAGCTAATCGATTCACCCGTCAAAACATGGGATAATCCACTAACCCCTCATTTTATCTGTCAAACTTTCATAGCAAATCAAAACAAACATTGTGTACTACTAGAATTTTGACTAGAATGGGGTACGTTAATCGATTTGCTTGGGACCAATAGGCTAGTCAAGTAGCGAGCCAATTTAAAAACATGGGGGAGCCCCTGGTCACTCTACACACTTATTTTGTACCAACTTTTTCTCAGTGTGCCAGCTGTGCCGGCAGTGCCGAGAGTGCCAGTCAACTTTGTTTGTTTATGAAAAATGGGATGTTTGGCAACCCGGTTAATTGACAGTTCAAATGTTTTATTTGAAGGAAGACAACAAGCAGTGGAATCCGACCAGAACCAAGCCGATGGTCCAGAAGCACCCCATCTGGATAAGCCAATAATCAAATCAGTTAATCAGATTGACCGCCCACGGTTGCTGCTCTGTTATTACCAGATCAGCTGCAATTACACAGAGAACCAACAGATGATGTTTGGGACTAACATTCATCCTCAATGTGTAAGAACTGGAGATCTAATATTTAGCAATACCAGCGCCGGCCGTGTCCGAATGCAGGTCAACTAGGGAATGGGAAGGAATGTGTTGACGTGGTACTCGCTGTGAAGGAAACCGAGAAATCCTCTGCGCTTCCACGAGAAATCACTGGGATGTTGGATGTGGGGAAAGGTTGCACGCACACGCAGGGATCGTTTTTTGGTAGAGCGATTATAATACACAAACACACACACACACACACACACACACACACACACACACACACACACACACACACACACACACACACGCGCGCGCACTCATCCAATTTCTATTTTTAGATCAGGACCCACTCTGTGGTAAGTGATGCGATCGGTGTTAAAAAAGAATTTGTTTTCATTAAAATCTAGTGGGTATAGAATAAGGCAAAGTGAAAAATTGCAAGGAAGGGGACGGGCCTGGGATTGAACTCCCGACCTTCTGCTCAGTAAGCAGAAATGGTAACCACTGAGCTACCGAGCCTCGTTACACCCCATCTGGATAAGCCAATACTGGACAAACTGGGCCTCGATAAGGCGATCAAGAATAGCCGCTGGGGACAACTGCCACGGATGTTGCAATCGCTGGAACGGACTCACGATATCGATGCCGTTTGTATGATTTGGTTCTATATAATTATGGCAAGCAAGATTATTGGTAGTGAAATTGATGATAGTGTGAAGCTGGTCATCGATCTGGTACATTTAATTGGTTGCCGAGATCAACGATAGCTACCTGGTAGCGAGCAGGTTCGAGATGGCCAAGGACAGAAGAAACGTGACGAATCATTTAAGTTGCATACATAGGCGAATTTGAAAATGGAGACACTGCACAATGCGACGAAAGTGTTCCTGCTGCTAAATGCTGGTTACATCAACGGTGTCACCGAGGAGTAGTTGCAGATGCTTTCAAAAAGTGCTACCAAAAGCGATTCCCGGTGCGGTTATGTTCGCCGATGTTGCTACACCCACCACCGCCACTGGTGTCTTCAGCTACCATCACAACCAGTTTCACCACCGGAACAACCCCGGTTGAGCAACAGTCATCAAAAGTTACCATGCCGCAACTACAGTAAAATAAAGGCCAACTAAAACTAGACGATTTCGGTATGTTCTAACCGTTCTAACCGAAACACAACACACAGTAGTAGTAATAGTTGAGGAATAGTAGAGGTTACGGTTTCATCCGTTTCTCTTTCTTTCTTGCGTCATCTCGAACACGAAGATTACCTATCTCAAGCTGAACATTGCATTAGGACCTAAGTAACATTGATCGATTCT